GGGGCCAAGGTGTCGGGATAGAATGTATATAATGTGTGTCTTTGTTGTGACTAGGTGTGGCTCAAATATTTATTTGGAGTCCCCACCACGCTTTGCAAACCGTTATATCCAATAAATCTCTGTCTAATTTCAACTTAGTGTTTGGTGTTATTCAGTGGGCTAGAATTTCTACCAACAGTAAGACATGTGGACTTCAACTCCCAGAATTCCCCATTCCCAGCCAGCATAGCTTGCGTTACATTTGTAGTTGAAACTGGCATAGCTGGCTGGGGAATTCTGGGAGTTGAAGTCCACAAGTCTTAAAAGTTGCCAAGGTTGGACAACCCTGGCTTAAACGGATGACCTCAAGATGGTTCTGTTTTATGTTGCCTGCTGTTGTTTACGAAAAGACATTTTACTTTGTTTTATTTTGCACTAGATTTATATTCTGTTTTTCCTTCCAGAAACAATGGTTGGGAAATGATCGAGGAGAGAAGCAACCTGGAATTAAGGAGAAAGTTCCTAACAGTGAGAACAATTAACCAGTGGAACTGCTTGCCTCCAGAAGTTGTGGGTGCTTCATCACTGGAGGTTTTTAAGAAGAGACTGGACAGTCACTTATCTGAGATGGTCTAGGACGGGTAGGCAACCTTGGCTCTTTTATGACTTGTGGACTTCAACTCCCAGAATTCCTGAGCCAGCATGGGGGAACTATGGCCCCCTTGATGACTTGTGGACTTCAACTCCCAGAATTCCTGAGCCAGCATGGGGGAACTATGGCCCCCTTGATGACTCGTGGACTTCAACTCCCAGAATTCCTCAGCCAGCATGGGGGAAACTATGGCCCCCTCATGACTCGTGGACTTCAACTCCCAGAATTCCTGAGCCAGCATGTGGGAACTATGGCCCCTTCATGACTTGCGGTCTTCAACTCCCAGAATTCCTGAGCCAGCATGGGGAAACTATGGCCCCCTCATGACTCGTGGACTTCAACTCCCAGAATTCCTGAGCCAGCATGGCTCAGCTTGGAAACCTCTCCCTTTCCCCTCAGCATGGCTGGCTCAGGAATTCTGGGAGTTGAAGTCCACGAGTCATAAAAGAGCCAAGGTGGCCTACCCCTGGTATAGGTTCTCCTGCTTGAGCAGGGGGCTGGACTAGAAGGCCTCCAAGGTCCCTTCCAGCTCTATTCTGTTCTGTTCTGTTCTATTTCAGGGCCTCAAAGCTGGCAGGCCGTGACCCTTCCTCCTGTTTGTCCCTGCCTTTTTTGCGAATGAATTTGGTCTTGGAGATAAGGAAGAGGTTTTATAGCCTCCGCCGCACCCCGTCTCAAGTGCAAACGAAATGCCAGCGCAAAGAAATCAACGGCAATTGCAAAGAGTTTGCCGAGACAACATGTTTACCTGGAAAAAGTCCCGTGGAGTTCTCTAGGCCTCGCTTCCTGGAAAGAGGTCCCGCTGGGTAATCTTAATTAGCTGAGGGCAGAGTAAACAAGAGATAAATGTAGGTCAGTAGAACCTTATTTACTCGGCTAGAAAGTGACTTCAGCGCAAACTTTGGCACACAATGGCCTCATCCTTTGCTGAAAACCCTTACGTCATCCTGGTCTTTCAATACGGGAAAGTCCCTGACTTATAACCGTCTGGTTAGCGACGGTTTGAAGTTACAACGGCGCCGAAAAAAAGGACTTAACGACCGTTCTTCACGCTTACGACTGTTGCAGCCTCCCCACGCACGCTCACGTGATCAAAATTCGGCGGCTCGGCAACTGGCTTGTACTTACGACGGTTGCAGTGTCCCGGGGGGGTCACGTAATCCCCTTTGGCGACTTTCTGACGAGCAAAGTCAAGAGGGAAGCGGGACTCCTTTAACGACCACGTTACTGGTTTTGCAACTGCCATGGCAGGGAAAGTTGCAAAATGCGGCAAAAGTCACTTAACGTCTGTCTTGCTTATCAAAGGAAATATTTGGACTCTTATTTTCTTAAAAACCCTAACCCTAACCACAGCGCCCTTAAATCAGGAATGAAACAGAAAAAACTATTTTTTTTGAAGGGGTGGCCGGGTTTTTGCTTTCAAGGTTTCCCAGAAATTTAAATAATTTAACGAGGCATCTGCTAGAACGTTGGTGGTTTGCAGATGTGGCCGAGATCAAGAAATCAGAATCAGAATAGAGCTGGGAGGGACCTTGGAGGTCTTCTAGTCCAGCCCCCTGATCAAACAGGAGATCCTATACAATTTGAGACAAGTGGCTGTCCAGTCTCTTCTTAAAAGCCTCCAGTGATGGATCACCCATAACTTCTGGAGGCAGATGGTTCCCCTGGTTAATTGTTCTAACTGTCAGGAAATTTCTCCCTAGTTCCAGGTTGCTTCTCTCCTTGGTTAGTTTCTTCTGTTCCCCTGGTTAATTGTTCTGTCAGGAAGTTTCTCCTTAATTCCAGGTTGCTTCTCTCCTTGATCAGTTTCCATCCGTTGTTTCTTGTCTTGCCTTCAGGTGCTTTGGAAAATATTGTCCCCCCTCCTCTTTGTGGCAGCTTCTCAAAGAATTAATATTTGAAGGTGAGTGCACAAAAAATCTAGTTTGGTGAAGCTCAGTGGTCCTCACGGTTTGTTGTTGTTAGTTGCGAAGTCGTGTCCGACCCATTGCAACCCCATGGACAACGTTCCTCCAGGCCTTCCTGTCCTCTACCATCTTCTGGAGTCCATTGAAGCTCACGCCTGCTGCTTCAGGGACTCCATCCAGCCACCTCCTTCTCTGTCATCCCCTTCTTCTCTTGCCCTCCATCTTTCCCAGCATCAGGCTCTTCTCCAGGGAGTCCTTCCTTCTCATTAGGTGGCCAAAGTCCTTGAGTTTCCACTTCAGGATCTGGCCTTCTAAAGAGCAGTAGGGGTTGATCTCCTCCAGGATTGACCGGTTGGATCGCCTTGCAGTCCAGGGGACTCGCAGGAGTCTTCTCCAGCACCAGAGTTCAAAGGCCTCCATTCTTTGGCGCTCAGCCTTCCTTGTGGTCCAACTTTCACATCCATACATTGCAACTGGGAAAACCATGGCCTTGACTATACGCACTTTTGTTGGCAGGGTGACGCCTCTGCTTTTAAGTATGCTGTCTAGATTTGCCATGGCTTTCCTCCCCAGGAGCAAGCATCTTTTATTTTCTTGGCTGCAGTCCTCACAGTTGCCATCCCCAAAATGCAAGAGACGCCTAAAAAAATCAGGAAAAAAATCCGGAAAATGGGAGAAACATCTCAGCAAGGTTGAGTCGGGTGAAGGGTGAAGACGTCAGGGCTGAGCTGGAAAAGTTGACAAAGAATCGCTGGCAAGCAGACCTTGACTTAACCTTGATTTGTTTAACGACCTTTCAAAGCTGGAAAGGATCTTCCTGCAGAGGCATTTACGACTCAGATTCGAAGTTACGACGGCCAGGCCATTCCCTCCATAGTCACGTGACTGCACATGTTCAGCAATTGTCCCGCGTTTGCGACCGCTTGCAGCGTCCTGTAATCATGTGGCCACATTTTACGACAGTTTTGCATTTATTTTTTGTGGGTCACTTTTAAGACGATCACAAATGACAACTGCAATGAGCAAGCTTGTCTTATATGTTGTCACTCGAGGACTGCTCGGAAAAGGGAGAGATCTAACTTTCTTCCTGGTTTAATACACCTGCTAGAAAACCTTGAGATCTCCAGGTATTAGCGATACTAGGAAATAGACAATATGCGTAAAAAATCGGTTCCACATGAGGAAAGTGAGCGTGTAGGTTTTTAACTGAGTCTAATTTAAAAGAGGAGCTAAGAAACACAAAACTCAAAAAAGAGTTTTTAAATACCATTTTCCTCAGGATGATGTGAAGGCCCCCATATATATTTCACCTGTTCTCTTTACATAACTTCAGTCCTTCATCATTTTCAGTGCTCCATTTTAGCCATTAAGAAAGGATAGGCATCCTGCAGAAAAAGAAAATCAAATTAATTGTGGAAACGGCAGTTTTATTGCTTTGGCCTTCCATGCTGCAACTAGACGGATCGAACTGAAGTTCCGATAACTCGGTTGGTCAACATTTCCTTTTCAAAAATTCTTGTTCTGTTTCTGGAACGGCTGCTTTTTAATATTATCCATTCTAGGAACCAAGGCCCTGGATTTTTTGCAAAGAAAAAGCAGTTTTTTTCATATAAGAGAGTGCTGTAAATTTGCAAATTCTGGATTTTTCAGATTTTTAAAGCAGGCCTTTGTGCATCTCAAGGCCTGCTTTAAAAATCTGAAAAATCCAGATTTTTTTTTTTATACTAATACTAGGTTTTCTAGCACAGCGAGGCCTTGCCAGCTAGAGTTGTGGAATTAGATTCGTGTAATATGAATATAACGCAAAGAAGAATTTGCAAATTTACAGCACTCTGTTATATGAAAACTGCAGTTTCTCTAAGGGGGCATTTCTGACAGTTTCTGAAAGTCAGAATGATAGATGTAAATCAGTTCAGAAAATTTAAGAAGAATTTCTATTGATTCCCAAGGATTTTTCTCCAGGATTTGAGGATCTGTAGCTTTTCCAAAGAGTGTACATATGTAAATAGTACGCAGGCGTGCATGTGAGCGTGATATATAACATTTTACATTGTTTTGCTCGTTCTTTAGATTTAAAGAACAATACTACAGTGCTAACTAGTAAATAATGGAATTCATTTTACATAGAAAGATGGGAACAACATAATATGAGACATGGCAGAAAACTGAACGAAATGGCTAGTCTCTCTCTTTTTTAGTCTCTCAGCAAAGCATTTTAAAATTTCTGGATAAAAGAACTGAAGAGAATTGCGATTAAAAATGACAAAGGAGAAATAATTTTAAAAGCTGCATAAAATATAGAAAGGCACAGATGCAGAATTTCATGCTGAATTCTCTAGTTAACACACTCCTGTATGGAAATTTAAGTACTGCAGAGCAATAATACCATAAAAGCAATGCTATCTGTAAGATTTTTGAAGTGTTTTAAAAAGCAATTTGGTGCAATTGAAGAATAAGTCAAAATGGCTGGTATTTTTTCAGATACGTAATGTAAAAGAGAAGAAAAAAAAAAATATACAAACGTTTTAGGCAAGTTTGAAAACTAAGCAGAAAAAAAACATATAATATGAAACTTCTAAATTGTTCTCCTGCCTTGGAATTTATCCATTGCAAAGAATTTTGGGCATTTCTCCATTTTGGGGCCAAAAAATTGGAACCAACCAACACGACATGGATGGATGATCCATAGCTATCTCTGTTGCTTTGATTATTCATTGATTTTAGTCTTAGTTTTAGTTTAAAATTGCGCAAGGATTCCAGGAATGCTACTTCATTGTTCCAAAGTATGATGACATTGATTATTGATTGATCTATATCTCATTTCAACAAATTACCATTGCTAGTTTTATTGATTTGCGTCTTAATAGCAATTTTAGGAGATTTTCAGATATATTTTAGGACATGTGGCAATCTTTAAGTCAACTTAAGTGTCCCTGTTGCGATAGATATGGAATTTCTTTGTTTTTACCCAAAGAAGGACTGCTTTTATCCAATTTTGGCTAATTTACATGCTCTATAACTTTTAGTTATTTACGTATTTGAGAGAACATTGCAGACATACACAAAGCCTAAAATTAAAGTAAGAATGGGAACGGAACACTGTTTAAATGCTTTATTTTTAAATTCTCTGTTTAGAGTAAATGCCGATTGGCTCACTGGCAGTAATCTTAGCATTTTAAGGATCCGCCAGCATTGAAGAATGATCACAGGATGTCTTCCAATTACTTTTGAGAATTAGAATTAAGGTAGCGTTGAGGGCTGTGTGGGAATCAACATTACTCCCTAACTTTTTTTTTTTTTTTTTT